AATTAAACTATTTATTTCTTCATCATGTTTCTGAGCTTTGGGAATACCACGAAATCTGAAACAATCAGATTTGGTAATTAATCTCAACAACTTATTTTTAATCAAAAAGAGCTTTACGATGATTTCTTTGCATGTAAGGTCGTTGTCATGTAATTTTCTTGGCCAAGAAAGGAGTTGTTGAGATTAATCCTCTTTATCTGACTTTTTCATGTTGTTTCTACAACTCAAAAACATAAAAGGTAAATATTTTTAAAACATCGAGAAAATCAAATATTCAAAGGAATATGAGCGTTTTGAACAGTATTCCAACTACGGATCTTAAAAAAAACATTTTAAGACTTTGTATTAAAGATGCGTGAAGTGTGTTGATGTCATGGGGAACTACTTTGGAAGATAAAATAGAAGTTTTGTCATCTGAGATCTCTGTGTTTTTTTTTATTGTTACAGTTTAAGAATTTTCTTATCAAACCATGTTATTTACAAAATTATATTAATTAAAAATATTATCAAAAAATATCTCCAAAAGTTATATTGCTAAGTGTTGATAAGAAATCAGAATCGTTAAAATTACAGATACAAATATCCGGGGAAAAATGTTGAAGAATTATTTTAATTAAATTTAAATGAAATAATATTAGAGTTGAACTGAGTGAATGTTAATTTTGTATAAGACTATGCGACCACCGGGACGGGTTAGAGTCTTCAGTGCCTACCGAGGACACCCGGTATACTTTCGCCGAAATTCCGCGACTGCGAGTTTCCTCACGCACCTCGCTGGACTGCATTCCACTCTTTGTGTCCCTCTTTTCTCGCAGACAGTGCTAAGCTTCTTCGCGGTCGTCGCTTCGTAGTCAATACTGATTTACAGCGGTTAAACTAAGCAGTTTCCGCAAAGAGCTCTTGACAAAGAGGCTTCGGAAGATTATTCATGTGCCAAAGAGATAGAGCTAAGGAGAATTCTTTTTCACGTTTTTGAGCTCCGCGAAATTCTAAAGTTTCCATCAAATTTACTGAAGTTTTGAAGTTTAAATACGAAATTTAAAAAATTTGAAAATAAAAATACGAAACGTTGAATAGCACATAGCACAAAGTTCTTAAGAAGACCTGTTTGTATTCGATATCTCGAAAAACCTGACCTAAATTCTTCGTGTGATCCTTTGTGCCCTGCCCCGAACTGAAGAGATAAGAGAAGGTAGACATTCCTTTTGATTATAAATCATTCAAGGGCCATCACGTGCGTGTCACGTACAATCTTGTTAAAAAATCTCTCTAAGCAACTGGATTTTATCTGTTTTTTTTATTTGAGAAATACACTGAAATACGAAAAATACGCGATAATCTTTAATTCATTTGTATTTCTGATCAATGAAAGGCGGTGTGGAAAAATGAATGAAGTGGCAGGTTTCCTTGATGATTCTCCCAGATTGCGCTCTCGTAAACTTTCTATCAAGTGATTTACTGCAAAAGCACTTCTCTACATGTACTTTCAACCGGATAAAAGAGAGAGAGAGAGAGAGAGAGAAAGAGAGACTTCTTACATAACATTGCAGTGACGGCGCTGACAAAAAACGTCGTCTCTTTACTGTCATCGTTCTAGGAATCGAGTTTATTTATCGTCGTCCCACTTGCCTCACTGGGGGTTATGCTCTTAATCGAGATCGAAAAATCTGTTATTTTTATGAAATATAAGCTTCCCGGAATCGCAGCGTTAATTTTGTTATGAAAGAATGTTTCCTCAATACTCTTGATGTCATCAATTTTCGTTTTAATTTCTTCGAATAAAACTGATCTCATTCATTTTTCTTCTGTCAATCTTTAATCAATCTTATTATCCGTACATTTAATAAAAGAAATTTAATTTAATTTATATTTTACTTATTTATATTTATTATATATTCTCTTCATTTATCTTTTTCTAAATATTTATTTGCAGCGTGATTTTACTTCGGTTTAAATCTGTTTCATCATTTCAATTTAATCATTTTCGTTGCTCCTCTATCTAATCAAGATCTAAATTTTGTTTCTCTTTATCTGATCAAGATCTATTAAATTTCTTGTCGACCTAATTAATTAATTTCAGACAGAAGATTCCGATGCGGATGACAGGCAAAGGCAAAACTTACGAATAACAGTAGAATAGAACTAGCCATACTTCCATTTAAATCCCGTCCCTTTAACTCGCCGGCGATCACGTGCGCGCGCGGTTCGTAAGTTCGCGGCGGCGGCGTCCAGGAGTGTCACGTGACCGGCAGTGCCATGTGACCAGCGTGTCGCTATCGTACGCGCGGTACCGTCCGTTACTCCTCCTCAGTGCGAGCGCGACCGGCGTGTGCGATGCTTGTCGATTGTGGGATTTGTGTCGTCGCTCTTTGTGCCAATCGCCGTTACCGGCACGCCGAAACGCGACGTACTATCCGTCCGCGCGACCTCGGTTCTTCTGTGATTTGCTCGACGCGCAATCCGCTCGTCCTCTGGACCATCTCTTCTCGATCCTCGCCGTCGAGCTCTCGCCAGGAAGACACGTGAGCTACGTGGTGATCGGACGCCAGCCAGGTGTCAGCTGGGTGCGCACTCTGCTTTCTCTCTCTCTCTCTCTCTCTCTCTCTCCTTGTTTTTTTTCGAGTATCGTGTTTGCAGGATGATCGGCTGAAAAAATGTGATTGTCCGACGTTCCAGAGTTCGAATTGCAGCGTGAATGTTTCGGGGAAGTCTCTATTGATCCCCAGATAGAAGCTCCTTTCCCACATTTCTAACACTGTAGATCCTGAAATGGTTAGTCCGCGTGTTGTATTATCGGAGACAGCAGAAGCGATAATAGCAGAAGTTATCCTCGCTTCCTCTTTTTTCGAGTATACCGCGCCGATCTGTCTTTGTCTAGGAACAGCACGTCAATCAGCCGCGCGAGAGATACGCGACTGATAGATATACTCTCTAAAGCGAATGCTCAGTTTCAGGTTTCCATACGACTGCGTTCAGAAAGTAACTTGATCTAAACGTTTGTTAAATTCGACAATGAAATTTTTGAGTTATTTCTAACATTTTTATCAACTTGAAATTTTTTCACGTTAAATATGCACTCCAAACTGGGAAATAACAAATCTATTTTGAGATTCGATCCTCACACTTGGACAATATTTAAAAGTCTTTAGTTAGAACCGGTTTTTACCTGTTTGAATGGAAAGAATTATGGTCCTTGATTTAAGCATGACACACCTGCTTTTGGAGCATTCTAATTTTTTGAGCATTTGTGCTTAATTCTAGATCTTCTACATATTTCAAAAATACCCACAGAGTTTAATAATTTTTTAATTATTTATAAATATAAAATATACACGTCAAGTTGATTTAACGTAATATCATAGAACGCATACAAATATTATGTTATTATTTTTCTTTTTTTAGAAGAGAAAACTAAAATTTTATTGTGTGAAGAAAATTGTATTTTATTAAAATTATTTTATTGAAATTATATTATTGTGCGAAAAGGTGTTAAACCGGCTCTGCGTCGGTCAGTTTTCTGAAAGATACCGGATATTGCATCTCGTGTATTGCACGCGCCCGAGTTTTACGTGCCCACGCCTATGCAAATCCCGCGGAATTATCGAAAGAATGGACGGAATGCAACGTATCGCCCATCCACGCACGTCTCGCGATAGTTGCACTTGTGCCGATTGTATAGTTGCATTCATACCGCGAAGCGAGCTCCTGGAGTGCAACAATTGGTGCACACTTTGCCGATGTATTGTATTTTGGCACACATCTCACATGTGCGCTTGCAATTGTAAGAATCGAAGGAGCGATCTTTATGCGATACATTAAATATATTTAATGTTACGCGAAGAAACGTGAAACTAATGAACCAGAAGTAATTAAAATAGTCCAGTTGCTCTGGTAATTATTAAAATAAATAAAATTTAATTGATTGTATTATAAGAGATATATATATATATATGTGTGTGTGTGTGTGAGAACTATGTAACATTTGAATGAGGTTCATTTCCTTCGAATTATATATCGCTTCCTCCTAGAAATATGAAAGTTACGCGACTACAATCTTACTAACTACATTGTTTATGTCGTAAAATTATCTGTGCATTGTGTAACACCATATAAACGATGTAATGACAGCGTATAACTCTTTCGTCGAAATTATTAAATTTAAATGCATTTCATTTTGAAATTAAAAGGTTTCTATATGGTATTATCTTGCTTTTTTATTGATAGCCTTTAATTTATACGGCATACGAAAGTGTAATCACTCAATACTGACCACGAAGAAAAGAACAAAAGAATGATATTTATTTAAGATCATTTTTAAAAGCTAAATTTACATTTTTTTGTATACTTCCATGTATTAATTATTTTCTATGAAATCCTCTTGCTAGTTTTTTCATAACCATTTTGTTATGTAATCACATGCAAGCTGAACAATGGCGAAGTGCAACTGTCGAGTTTTATCGAACGTTTATATCGACCTCGAGCGGCCTCGAGCATTCCCGATGGTATTTCCGTCAGCGAGCTTACAATTAGTATTCTATCGTACGCAGACGGCGAATCGGCGAGACTGGAAAGCTTGATCACCTTTAAGAATCGGAGCGTTTTATCGAGAGATCCGGGTTCGATCGTGCGTTTCTTGATCGAGCTTTTTATTAACGTACGCGTGGGCTTCGCATATATCGCTCTCGTTTACGCACTCAGTGCTTTCGTGGATACTTTCGTGCAGTCCGATAGCAACGCGAAAACTTACTGCGAGAACTCACTAGTCTTTCTAGTCTCGCCAAGCTCGAGCTGCCAATTATTTCCCAAAGCCTATTATTAGGCCCTTGCAGTCGACGAATTCCTGCGCCGACTTGATTAAAGCGCAATTAAAACATCCGTACGCACGATCGTTAACACGTCTTCGTCACAAATAAAATAAATGTCTACACATAATTCTATTGTAATAAATATTTAAATATCTCGATTGCTATCCATTTTGACGATAATACTGTCCGTTGCAGATGTCAGAATTCCCGGTGGAGGGAGGCGAAAACATGCATACTGCCATGGAGAATTTTCAAAAGAAGAACCTGGTGACTGGCAGGACGCATCACGTCACTCATCATCCGCAGGTCACCACCACGTCGTCGCAGGTGATTATCTCCAACTCGGACTTTTGTTGTCTCTCTTTCTTTGACTATCAAATATTTGCGCGCGCTTCCCGAATGTTGCGATTCTTTGAAAAATAGGAAAGACGCGTCACTTGTATTTCAGTCACCAGTATTTTCGCAGGACTCAATACACGTTTTCTCGCAGTATGTTCCGTAGTATTTATTATTAATTAACATGCGAGAGATACGGTTATTTTTCTGAAATGAATTTGAAAATCTATTTGTGCAAAACTAAAATCTTCGGAAGACAGATTTTTTTTAACGAAAAATATGAATGCATTAAAAAAAAATATTGATTAATAATTTAACATGTAATAATACATATGATGCATTATATTGTATGTATCATTATATGTTAAATTATTTATATATTAATAAATACATTAAATTATTAATAATTGTATAATACATTAATAAATTAATAATTTAATACCATACGATGTCTATATAGTTTTCACTGTATTAGTATATATAACATTGTAAGTTTTAAATCCATATCATGTTAGTTTTAAGATTAATATTAACATGGTGAGAATTATATAAACACCATATGGTGTTAAATCCATACCGAGATTTTTTAGAGCTTCTGCATCTTCTCACGTTTTTATATTATCGAATTATTAACTGCATTAAATTCGGTACACTGAATTAATCTGTTCGCAATAAATTAATACGTTAACTCCGAAATCAAATGTTTTACGCGATTGTATTTTTCGAATTTAAATCCAGAGACCTACACTTCACGCATTTTTGCATACTTTGCATCTTTGTGAACATTTAGCAGAAGCGAGTTGCGATGTGCTGCAATATTTATTTGGCCTTGCTACTTCGGGGAAAATAGACGTAATAAGTATAGATGTGTATTCTCTGATCTCCGCATCTGTGCTCCATTAGAATGAATTATAACAGCATCATTTTTCTTCAATTTTGTCAGCATCTCTTTTCAACTTGGTACTTTAGAAGTTTAGAAAAAGAAAAAAAGAGCTATTATATATCTTACTCTTTTCAATAGTGACAACTTCGCAGAAATACGCAATCTATTCTTATTACGAGGAAAACACGATCGTCACCTTCTTCAGATTGTTTCTTCTAATTCAAGAAATACCCGTGAAGACTACGCGGTCTATCTGTCTTCCTATATAGTCTTCTCTACGTCAGCTATAGATGAAGTGTCCGGCGCCTCCGACGCCCACATCTGAGACGAATTTCCTGAAAGTAATCACAGAAATTTGGAATTATTCATCCGTTACGCTTTTATCATCAACACGATCTGTGCTAAAAGCACCTAAAATAATAATCACCGTCACTATTCGCGCAAGTCAATCGATTCGCCTGACTGACGCTTGCCATTCACATTCTTATCTAATTTATTTCTCTATATTACCAGATAGATATATATTACCGGTTAGATTAATATCTCAGAAAGTTTGATTGTTAATATTTGATTATTAATTTAAAAAATTAAGTGGAAAGCTATAATTAATACAAATTACATTTTTAAACCTCTTATTAAACTGCTAATTGTAAGATAGCAAAAGTTGATTATGATATTGAGCAATATTAATGGTATAGAAAATGGAAAGAAAATTGATAGGCAAATCTGTCGAAATTTTTGAAAGGATTAATGATATTAGGTGTTGGAATTAATTCGTAGCGTTTTTAAATGAAAGAATGTTATTTATTTCACATGAGCATTAAAAAATACATTAATGAAAGTACTTCCTATCACTTTAAAAACGCTACGAATTAATTCCAACACCTAATAATTAAGCATTGATTAAAATTAATAATAAAATAAATTACATTTTCGTTTATTGGATTTTTTATGTCACATCAGAATTAAAGGTAAATCAAATTTCAGTCAGAAAGAAAATTATGCATTTGATATTAAATGCGTTGTGTGCATAAGAATTTTTATACGAATGACGTGTGTGATATATGTATGTCGCGGTTAAAGTGGCTGCGCGTCTCGCCAGCAAAACCACTTGTCAGACCATCTCCGATCATCGAGCAATCAGAAGCGATAGCTCGAGAACGACTATAGGCGTTTACTACGCAATGTGGCCGCCCACGTGCATATTTTTCTATTGAAGATTAATCCGACAGAATCTTGGTGAACCTTGGTACCATGCTTCAAGGTCCCTTCTCTCGAGAGAGCATTGCCTCCTTCTAAATTTACCGGGCCCTTTTTGCCTCCAGGTTCGGCCGAGTCATCTCGTACATCGTAATGACTTTTGGCCTATCGCCAACAGTCATTGCTGTGGTTGCTACAGCAGATGGTGTTTACATTTTTCCCTTTAAACTTGTCTTCGCTCTTTTGTTTCTTCGAACTGTACTTTTCATTTGTGTAAGGCGAAATATCTGACTTTAGTTCGTAAAAAGATTATTCAGAAAATCTTGTCACAATAGTCGAATAGAGTTATCGACGAAAATATTCATTATTAATAAATTTAGAGAAAGAGGAATAGCTATATGATAAAATGAATAATTTGCATACATTTAATGTGTATGAAAAGTTTTATTATATTTATTATGTTTTATTATATTTAAATATTAAACCAATGAAAAAATTATTTTTTTTTCTAATTATATGACTTTTACAGCAGTAAAACAATTAAACAAATTTTTTTATTTATTTTATAATAAAATAAAAAGAGTACTTACATGATATAGATATAATACACAAAAATGTCGAGAGAGTGAAAAAGAAAGATTAATTTAAATAAGACTATTTCTCAAAAAATTAAAGAATAAAATCAAGAAATTCGATAAATAAATGATTACAAACTCGATATATTTAATAGAAAGACGGAAAAGAGAGACAGAGATAAAGAGATAGAATATTGGAGCGGAAGATTCGAAGCGAATGAGTCATCTTATACGGATCTTAAATAGAACGAAAACGGCTTTTGACTCGGCAGATGCTGACGACAAATCAGAGCCAACATCAGAGTAGTAGCAGCACCAGTACCAGTACTAGCAGTAGCAGCAGCAGCAGCAGTACGAGCAGCAGGGTGGCCAAGTCCTCACAGAGGATTCTCACCTCGTCTTCGTCGAGTGAGATGAAGGCGAGCTCCATGAAGAGTGATCTGACGGAGCTCAAACGCGGCATCTCGGAGATGAAGAACATCTCGACCAACTTTTCACAACGGCTGCGCAGCAGCATGGAGAACCTCGTAGACAGGTTGGTTCATTCTTAAGTAAATTAACTATCTCTGAGAATAGATTCAATTTTTAAAAGACAGATTTAATTTTTGAACTATAATTGTAATTATAATTCTTTACATGAGTTTATTGTGATGAAACAGTGTTCATTGTGAAAAAATTTAACGTTTTGAAGAAGTTTTGACGGATAATGCAATATGAGTGTTTAGTGAAAACTACGCGTTATTTCGTGTATTTTCTTATAGAAATGATTAGTATTTTTAGAGTATCTTTAAGTGTGCCAGCGTGACAAATCTAATGTCATCGCACATGTCATCATTGCGATGTGTTCCTTGTTTTGATCCAGTCATTTCAAAATTCTCTTCTATGTATATGATAATTTATAAAAACATTCTTTACTTTTGGATTGTGTTATATGTAACAGGTTATTTCGAATTTTTTTAAGTTTTGTGTATATTTCGTTAAAATATAAAGTATCAAATTGATATACCTTATTTTTATTATAAAAGTGAACATTTTTATTATATATTTGAAGAGACATAAGAGAGTTAATTGGTAACTAAGAATTCGTCTCAATCTATTATAATTCTCAGTTATATATAATTAAAATAGATTAATGACTTTGGTTGTAATAATATTTGAAAATAATCATTGACTTCATCTTTTCGTGAAAATGTGAAGATTTCTCGGAAGTTACTTCTTCAACTACTAGTTACGAAAAGCTCAGTGATTCATTTCGTTCAGTTTCTAAAAATTCACACGGTTAAGCTTCGCAACTAAAGCTTTCACAACTGAAAGCTCTGAAACACGTCAACGGCGAATATTTGTGTACGCATAATTTCGATTCGTATGCTATTTTCGTAGTAGTTAGATTATTTTTAACATATTGCTCACGTGTCGTTTTACGTACTTTGAAATATAAGATAATATTCCATTGCTGTTATATCACAGTAGAAAAATAAGCATTTCATTGACAAATCGTCTTTATAAAGTAATTCATTATTGATAAAAATAGATACAAAAATAGAATATTATCCAATATGGAAAAAAAAAACGATAATTTAAAACATAAGTTCTTTGTTTAAAATGGTTTTTTTAAGTAATTAGCTTTTGCAAATTATTTGTATGTCTTTATGTAAAAACACTAGGAATATGTTTAAATAGTATAATTTTTTAAATATTTAAAATTTGTATAATATTGCTTCAATTTTATTTTGCAAATCTTTTTTACACATACATATACATTTATTCTTCCATCTAATTTAATTTAGTTTTTATTTTATATATTTATTATGTAATTATATTATTTTGTACATACACATATAATTATTAGTTATATTTTTTCTTAATCGAAAAAGATTCTATATTCATAACAAAATCTCGTCACTTATTTATTCATATCCAAATTCCAACCGAATTCGAACCGAATTCTTTAGAAATAAGAATATAAGAATATATCATTAATTATAGCATGAATTCTCATGAATTCTTTTTGTGGAATTTTTCCGGATACAGATACGCCGCCACCTGTCAACGATGCTGTCACGTTGGCGGGCGGTTCTCCGTCCCAATTGAGTTCCCTGAACTCACTGAACAATCTTCATCACAGCATGAGCCCCCCGATGAATATACCGAGCATGCCAAACCTACCTGCTGGTCAGGAAACTATGAAGTTCGAACAGAAGAAAATGACCAGCGCTTCAAAAACAAAGGTGAGCGATGTTTTCCTGTCTCCATATCTCCATCTTTTGAATATCACTTTTATATTAATAATTGTAAAAATTTTACATTTAATCTTAAAAATAATTATCATAAAATGGGATAACTTTAATGACAATGTCTAGACAGCATGCTTGTCAGAATTTGAAACATAAGATATCTTAAGAACATCTTGCAGATAAGATGTTATGTCATTTTGTCATATTAAATATGGTTGCTATCTAAACATTTTTTAAAGTTTGGTCAAAACTATCTTATTTTATAATAATAAATAATTAATTGTAATAATAATGGATATAAATAAAATCGAGAATACGATTTTGTCTGCTATAAATAGAAATTGATAATTACAATACTCGTTCGATGAGGAATAATTCTCATAAGATTTGTGAAAGATTTTTATCAGACTTTGAGAATTTGATTAAAAAATGATATCAAGAATCGTGTAGAAAAATGTAGTAATAAAATAAAGACAAATATACATGAAAATAACTTGGGTTACTGGCGATATTGAATTTCATAATATTACATGAAGTTAATCTTGCGCACGCTATCAGCACGTGGTCTCATCGAGCCGTTCAATAAGCTATCCGCAAAATAACGAGTACTTAAAAATACATATTTGATAAGAATTGCGCGATTAATTTAACTTGAATTTACCGAATGAATGGTGGCGTTTGATAGACGTTATACATTGCGAACATCGGAGATGTTAGATGCATAGCGAATGGCGGTCGAGGTGCGGCTTCCTCTAGGTAATCTAGGTCAAGGATTGTGAGTCCTATCCTTAGGTATCATGCGTGAGAAAGCATCGAGGCTCGGTGTCGTGTATATCACAATACGCCTCTGATCAATTTGCCAGCTTTTTTATTCAGACCTCGCGTCTAATAGTCAACTGATTTTTGTTAGGTCGTCACGGATGGATTTAGTGCTGAAAAAGCGACGGCGAATAGTGCAGAAATGAGGGCCCTGCAAGCCGGTGATGTCTCATACAAGGAACAGAGCGCAGCAACGGCGGCGAGGGCGCGCG